AACAACAACAACAACAGCATAAGTCTGCTTGATTTAATCATCACTCGCCTCAACTCCTCCTGTTTATTATTGTACAGAAGTGTCAACTATACTCAAAGTCCTATGCCATCTTTTCATATCTTTTAACCTTGAATTTTCATAAAAATAGAGTTTAAAAGGCTAGTCTTTACTGATGTGCCTTAATACATGAGTGTTAGTTAACTATTACAGTACTGATGTCATTGGGAGGACAGAATGTCTGCTTATTTGTATAAGTATCTATTTTTTTATTTTTATTTTTTAACATTTCCCTACATTATTTCTTCTTTTGCCATTACTCCAAATGGAACATTTTGTAAAGGCCTATATTGTTCTCATCCTATGTCATTTCTGGTGGCCCACAAGTCTTGGTTAGTTAGTCAGTTCAGTAAACTGCACAAAATAGGGCATATATGTAAGAAAATAACTCCTTGAGTTAGAACAACGCCCTAGGATGTGTCTGTAGTTAGCTTTTTATCTCATTTATTTTAACACGAATCTAACTTTAATCATAAGGAGCTCTGGTAGCGTAGTGGTTATGAACTGGGCTGCAAACCTTAACATCAGCAGTTCAAAACTACCAGCTGTTCTGCAGAAGAAAGAGGAGGCTTTCTGCTCCCGTAAAGATTCCCAGCCTTGGAAACCCTGTACAGGGTCACTATGAGTCAGAACCGACTCCATGGCACATAACAACAACAACTGAAATCATGAAAACTCAGTTTATTAAATTTGCAAATGATTCTCATTTTCTCTGTTACCATGTTACTATAGTGACCTTAGCTTTGTAATATCTACATAGCATCCTGTATAATTTTTTTCAGTAATAAATTCATTTTAACTGGCAGATCGACTGTGTATGCCCAGTATGCAAACACATGCTAAAGAAAGCCACATCTAACTACTGACTTTGCAGGACAGGTCTCACATCCTCTGCTTTTCTAGTTGGAAATTCATAACTCTGCCATATAGTTGTTAAATCTCCATCTATTGGTTGATCATCAAATTCTAAGTCAGAGGCAAATCAGTTCAAGGTCACCCACTGGTATATAGGGATAGTTGCTTACATATGAGAGGGCTTAAAAACTTGGCGGAACATTTTATTACATTTTAAGTGCATTTTTCATAAACTTTTAGAAGCCCTCTTTTTATTAGTCTCAATATTAATATGAAGCATGACCCAATTGTAGCATGAATTTAAAAAACAAAAAAAGTTCTTAGAACTTTTACACATAATTTATTATTACTTAAATTTTTTTTTCTGAAAAAATTTCCAGGTATCCCAGTACTTCAATTAATTGTATTTATTGGATAACTAACTTTTGTATTCCCTGAGCTAAGTTCCACCCCTGCACTGACCGTATTTCATGATAGCAATCAATTGGTGAATCAGTATCTGCCACTGCATTGCCATACGGTATTTTCGATGACAAGGGTTATATTGTGTTCACTTTCACATTCTAGCACCTACTACCATATTTTCACCACAGCAGATACCTTAACATGCATTTTGAACAAATTACTATTGTTTACTGCTCTCATAGGTATCCTCTCCTTCTTTTTAAAAAAATTACCTCTGTAAGGTTAGCAGACATCTTAGTAGACAGGTGAGCTAGTGTTTGAGAAAGGTGTTAACCCCACAAAGAAGTACCCAAAAATGAGTTTTTAGGAAACCATGTTTTCTACTTGTCTGCGATTGTAAGGGTCACTTCCATAAACATGAGGCTCATACCTTTGTGACTGTAAATCTTGAGAGGAGCAGACTGTCTGCCTCATCTTTCTCCCATGTAGCAGCTGGTGACTTTGAATTGCTGCCCTCATGGTTAGCAGCCCTGCAGTTAACCCACTACCCCACCAGGACTCCTTAAAAAGAAGCCAAGTGTTTCCAACAGAGATGGCATGGCATAAATTGTTTATTTAGGGTTCTCAGTCACTAATACCCTTCATTTGCTTAGTAATTTTGCTCAAAAACAATAAATATTTACAAGTATTCTGTAGTGGAGCCCATCCCTCATTTTATTTTCATTTAAGGTGGTTGTTGTTAAGTGTCGACGGGTCAGCTCTGACTCATAGCAACCCTGTACAGGGTTTCTGAAGGGAGACTGGTGAGTTTGAACTGCTGACCTTGTGGTTCAAACCTACTTTACAGTCCAGTGCATTAAAAATTCCTAGGTTCTTTGCACTTCAGTAGATAAGTTCTTAAACATTTAAAAAAGTGAAAGCCTCTATTATGAAACACAGCATTCAGTGGCCAGCATCCTCTCAAATTACATTATGTTGATAGACGACTTTATCTAATTCAAGAAAAACATAACAAAACAAGCACTAGCTCAAGTTGTTATTGTTAGCTGCCATTGAGTCAGTCCCCAACTCATGGTGGCTCCCATGTACAGTGAAATAGGATGATTGTGATCCTTAATGGTGTTTATTGGCTGATTTTTAAAGATCACCAGGTATTTTTTCCAAGTCTTTCTTAATCTGGAAGCTCTTCTGAAACCCTTTTAGCAACACACAAGCTTTCACTGACAGAGTGAGTGGTAGCTGTACTTGATCCTCACTGACCAAGAATCAAACCTGGACTGAGTCTCTTATATGGGAGGTGAGAATTCTGTCACTGTACTTCCACTGCCTTCAAATAGACCAAGGAGTGATCAAATATAGTCATTTGATGAAAGACGAATGATGGCCATTAGCCAGTTTAAATAAACTATCTTTGGAACATATTACCTACCTGGGGAGCAAGTTTAATTCCTTGAGGTTTTAGAGTGACAGGATTCATTGGTGTGAGCTCCATTCCAGGCAAAAGATCATAGAGTTTGTCTTCTCTCTTGTCTCCTTTGACATGGTATCCACGACCCAAGCCTGTGTAAGCCAAATAGCCACGGCCGCCCAGTCCTCTCACTCCCGCAGCCCCTACAGGTACATTCATGTAAATTTCTAGGAATGTAAGAATGATTAAACTGAATCAAACCACCAGAAAATCACCCTGAATCTTACTGTAATGGAAAAAGTTAACCCCAGCCACATGGATTATTGTCCTGAAGATGGTAGAAAACTTTAGGATTCTACGTAATGAAACTCAACATAAAATAGGAATCACCATTAGGTAAATTTTCAAAAAACAAAACACTAGCCGTGGAGTAAACAACACCATCAAAGCTATACGTACGTATATGAGTAATTAACATTTTGGGTACAGGGGGATATTGTGCAATTTTTGGCTTCATTCAGTCTTTTGTTAATGTTTTGCTACAGACTAAATGACTGTTGTAAAGGTGTTTATTAAAACATCCCAATGAAATATGACCACCTGTATTCAAATCAGTCTTGCATAGATACTGTCACTGTTCAGAAAATTAGAAATGAATTCCAACTTCTCTAATCATCACACCCCAATGAACTCAATGGAAAACCAACAATTAGAAAGTATGTTTTTCAGTTCTCCATTCTCTCTTATGTTCTGTCCATGTGAGGATTGAGTTCCATTGAGTTTCATACATAGATTCCTTTTGATTTCTGTTTTGCCACATTGCTAATTTGATTTCCTTATGGTGACATAAAGAGATAAGAAAGATTAGATTGATTACCCTCCATTCATGAACAGCATTCATTGATTCCTTTCTTGTTAAAAGAAAAAAAAATTATATATATATATATACATATATATAAGAAAATTTTTTTCTATTGCAGTAGAGTTGATTTTTCCCTACATTACAACTGGTTCACAGCTTATATTTAATGTATGCATTCTTAAGAAATATGATTTTAGATTATAAATGAAGAATGGTTTAGTGACATAATTTGTCATCATGTAGATATATTATCCTGAAGGAAATTCAAATTATTCCTACAACATTACAGTTCTGGGAAGTGTTCGACACTGTGGACAAACACCAGATTACTAACCACAATGGTGGTGGCTTAAGCCCATTCAGCCACTACTTGGAAATCAGCATTGCTATGAGCCAGAACCGACTTGACAACACTTAACAACAACAATTATAATATGATTATAGATCTTTTAAGGCTGATGAATAGAGCCCCTAGGGTGCTCAGTGTAATTTTTCTGAAAAACAGGAAAAGATAGTATTTCTATAATAATCTGGAGTTGCCCTTTTGATTCCATGTTAAACCCAAGAATATATTTAAATGCAGTTTCTTTGTTGAATTGCCCACATTGTTGTCATATAAAGAAGCCAGGACTAGAATTATGTTGGCATTCACTATATCTTTAAGTAGTCCACAAGACAGAGATGATATCGTTTCTTGGAAATAGAAAAAAAAAAATGCTTTACTTATTGTCGGTATTGTTTGATCTAACAAAGCTTTCTGAGCTGCTTGAACATTTGGTATTTTTATATGATTCAAACAGGAAATGTTTATTGTCTGATAGTAAGATTGATTTTTTTTTTCCCTATCTGGAGTCTGGAGTTTACCATCTAGTTCTCTATATTTTGGCTAAAACAGATGATCTTCTTAATACTGTGGCTTTTCAGTAGGCAAAATAGGTTTGGAGGAGGAGACATGTGAGATTAAATGAGAGCATCTCCAATATCTGTTAGAATATATTCATAGAGATTTGTGGATTATACATGAAAAGGATGCAACTGAGTCAGTATCAGGTACACACTCAGTTTGAAATGTTTTTACTATTTGAGATACTCAGTTTTCATTAAACCCATACTGTTTTCATTTGGGAATTTTGTATTGAGTCATGTATGAGTGGAAGGTAAACATCCGGTGATAAGTAAGAAACTTTTAACTGTGCAATTGAGCTTCTGTTTTAGCAAATTTTATTGTCCCATGCAAAGAACTTTTCATCAAATTTATGTACTATTCTATGACCAAGTTTTTTCAACAACCAGTTGTAATGTGAAAAGATTCCTTATGGAAGGGAAACTATTTGAATACTATTTGATTTTTAATAAACCATTTTCTTGTTTTTCTCCCAGTGGAGAAAATTTGTCTTAGACATTTCAATTCTAACCATTTGAAATGTTGGAGAAAGAGCTGCTTAGCGTTACCTCTAACAGAAGGGGCCCGAATAATGGCCCTATTGCTTAGGTATCCTTTGGATGCTGGGAAGTGAAGGCTGGGTACTGTTGCATAGGCTTGAGGAGCATAGAAGACAGGAGCTCCAAGGTATGTTGTGGTGGGATCATAAACATGACCCACAGAGTAGGTGTATTCTCCTTGCAATACGGAGCTCCTTCCACCAGTGCCTCGGGTGTACCTGACATAACTGTCCTTGTCCACTGGTTTGGCTAAAGTCACTTCGATGGGGGAACCATCCAGCATCTGTTGTAACGAGCAAGGAAATGACAACATGAGAAGATACAAGGAATCTTTAAAAAGTTTATGAAAAAATGTGCATAATGAAAAAAACTCTGCATGAATTTACAAATTTTTTTATACCAAAATAAACTTGTAATAACTTGTTACAAGGGAACATCGTGGCTCCATATGATAAGCATTGGACTGTGAACCCCAAGTTCCGAGGTTTGAGTCCACCAGCAGCTCTGCAGGAGAAAGATGAGACTTTCTGCTACTGCAAAGATTGAAAGCCTTGGAAACTCGACCATGCTCGATCGCTATGAATCAGAACCTACTCAAGAGCACATAACAACGACTTATTATAACATGCATGAACAGGATCTAGTTTGAATTACTAAGAAGGGTTTGACACCAGTTTGAAACCCCTGTCAAAGTAACATGAGTTCTGCTAAGATTGAATCAATAATAACAAACATCAAGATTATGTTGACGTTTGGGTGGAAGAATAGTGAAATTACTGATGCTTTACAAAAAGTATATGAGGACAATACTCCAAAGAAATGAGCAGTTTAAAAATGTGTAACTCATTTTTAAAATGGTTAAGATGATATTGAAGATGAAGTGTCTACAATAGCATACCAACCACATCAATTTTCAAAGTAAAAATTAATCTTGTCCATGCCCTAATTGAAGAGAATTAATAGGAGACAATAGCCAACACCATAGACATTTCAATTGGTTCCATTTACATAACTCTGACTGAAAAAAATTTAAGTTGAGAAAACTTTCTGCTCCGTGGTTGCTCAGATCAGCTGCAGACAAGAACAGACTTTCAATGAAAATTTTAAATAAGTGGATTGAGGTCCTGAATTATGTTGGCATTAGCCAAGTTCTTCCATTTCTTGGAAGAAGTGTAACAGTAGATGAAACATGGGTTTACTAACATGATCCTAAAGACAAAGCCTAATCAAAACAATGGCTACCATGAGGTGGAAGTGGTCCAGCAAAAGCAAAAGGGGGCCAGTCAAGAGCAAAGGTCACGGCAACAGTTTTGGGATGCTCAAGACATTTTGCCTGTTGGCATTTGGGAGGATCACAGAACGATAACATCTGTTTACTATAAGAGTGTTTTAAGAAAGTAAGTCAGAAATTTAGCAGAAAGACACATGATATAGCTTCATCAGAGAGTCTTTCTCTACCACAATACTGTTTATTCTTCTTATCAAATTAAGGCAATTTTGTGAGAGTTTCCATGGGAAAACATTAGGCATCCACTTTAAAATCCTAATTGGACTCTTTTGGACTCCTTTTTGTTTCCTGATCTTAAAAAAAAATCCTTACAGGGTACCCGTTTTCCTTCAATTAATTATGAGATAAAGGCTGCATCGATGTGGTTAAAATTCCCAGGACCCTCAGTTCTTTATGGGTGGACTAAATGACTGGTATCATTGCTTACAAAACTGACCTGCCCTTGCTAGAGCTTAGGTTGAGAAATAAACTTTGTATTTTTAATTTTATCTTTAATTCCATTTTCCCATGAATTTCTGAAGTCCCGTAGTATGAAGATAGCAGCGCAGCATGGTTACTCTCTAGTAACATGCCACCTTTTAAGGGTTAGTCCATTTGTTGCCATGTTTATTGATTTTTTTCATTCACATATATCTTGTCTTTCTGTAGACAAGTTTGTTTTTGTGTGCCCATAGATTTTCACTTAGTGGTTTTACTGGTAAGTTGCATTAGATTCCAATAGATTCGATATTGGCTGATTGACGGCTGCCCCTTGATATATTGGTGAGATCTTGAGTGTAGCCATTTTGAGAACTAAACTGTATTGCATTAGCCTGAGGTATCACACACACACACACACACACACACCCTTTCCTGTTCTTGTTTCTTAGATATTTGCTTTTATAGTGTGAGTGGTCACCCTGGCCTGATGTCTGAGCCTTCTCTGAAAAGGAGTAACCAGTCGTACAAACAGGCTGGAGAGTTAATCATGCCTTTCCTTTTGATAAATTTATTAGGATATACTACGGATCACCTCGTGAAACAGTGTGAATATTAGAGTGAGAAGATTGTAATCCACTTGGATACAGATAAGCATTGTTAAAATGGTTATAAATATTGCTTATAAGAAATGTTGTTGTTGTTAAGTGCTGTTGAGTTGATTCTGACTAATAGCCACCCTGTATAGGGTTTCCAAAGGAATTCTGGTAGCGTGATGGTTACAAATCGAGCTGTGAACCTCACGGTCAGCAGTTTGAAACTACCAGCTGTTCCGTGGGAGAAAGATGAGACTTTCTGCTCTCGTAAAGATTTCCAGCCTCGGAAACCCTGTACAGGGTTGCTATGAGTTGGAACCGACTCCACGGCACATAACAACAACAACAATTAGAAGAAGGAGTCCTTGTGTGGTGCTGTGGGATAAAGCACTGTACCATAGGGTTGGTTTGAAGCACCAGGTTGGCAGTTCAGATTCACCATTCACTCCTTAGAAACCCTATATAGGGTCGCTGTGAGTCAGAACTGACCTAACAGCACTAACAACATCAGCAATTAGAAGAAGCAGACTTGGACTGAAAGAAAGGAGTAACTTTGGATAAAATATTCTCTGTGTCTCCAGTCTCATCTTTTTTTTTTTTTTTCCAGTCCCATCTTTAAGGAAGATGAGAGACTGAAATAAATATTTTCATATCAAGAGACATTTCAAAATGAATGATTCTTCATTGAAAAATCAGGTTCCTGTTATAAGTTATCTATTGCCCCCTTCAACATAATTTTGAACTCAGTATTGTGCTTATGTGGAACACTTATATGTATCATGAGGCTGTTAATGAAACTGAACAGAGATCCTCATGGTCTATAAGAGGAAAATGTATGCATTCATGGTTATAGTATTTCACCATACTATTTGTTGTTGTTATGTGCCATCAAGTCAGTTTTGACCAAAGCCACCTTGTATAGGGTTTCTGAGGAGGGGCTGGTGAGATTGAACCATCAACCCTGCAGTTCAAGCCGACCTTGCAGTCCAGCGCATTAACCACAGCACCACACTATGGCTCAGTCTATATGCTGAGCAAATAATCTGAGTAGCTGGACTATATGGAGAAGAATTTAGCATCAGGAATGGAGGATTATCACATTAACAACCTGTGATATGCCAAATTATACAACCTTGTTTTCTACAAGTGAAGGGAACTCAAAAAGTATTTGCTGCTGATGATCAAAGACTGCAGCCTTAACTATGGATTAGATGTCAACATAAAAGAAAAATCTTCACAACTAGACCAATAATCAACATCATGATCCACAGAAGAAACATTGAAATTGTCAAGGAGCTCATTTTACTTGGATCCATAATCAAAGCTCATGGACTCAGCAGTCAAGATATCAAACAATGGTATATTGCAGTGGACACTTCAGTTGTAAAAGACTTCTTTAAAGTATTAAAAAGCAAAGATGTCATTTTGAAGACTAAGATGGGCCTGTCCCAAGTCACTGAATTTTCATTTGCCTCATATCATGTGAAAGCTGGACAAAAAGAATGCTGAAAAATTTCTGCAGTTAAATAATGGTATTGGTGAAGACTATTGTGAAATCGACTCAATGGCACTTAACAACCACAACATAAGCTTCCACAACAACAAATCTGTTGCAAGAAATCCAGTCAGAATGCTTTTTAGAAGTGAGCATGGCGAGACTTCATCTCCCTTAATTTGGACAAGTTATCAGGAGGGCACTAACACCAGGAGCAGGACACTATCCTTGGTAGAGTTTCTACAAGAATGAAAAGGACCCTCAACAAGATGCAGCAATGGGCTCAAACGTGGCAACAACCTTACAGTGTTTTAGTCTGTTATACATAAAGTCACTATGAATCAGAACTGACTTGAAAACACCTAACAATAATAATAATAAAAAACATGGTTATTTAAGAATTTTCAACAGCTGGGACTATGTATTGTCAATCTGTCCAGCTCCAAACCCAGAAAACTTGCATGCGCACAAGACATCCACAATTTTTTCTAGAAAAAAAAAAATGAATGTTGTTGTTAAGTGCCCTTGAATAAGTGTCAGTTCCAAATCATAGCGACCTTGTATTGGGTTTCCGAGGAGTGGTTGGTGAGTTTGAACCGCCGATCTTGTAGTTCAAAACAACCTTGTGGTCCAGTACTTACTCTTGTTGTTGTTAAGTGCCGTTGCGGCAGTTCCAATCCATAAAGACCCTTTATAGAGTTTCCAAGGAGCCGCAGTTAAGCTAAACTGCTGACCTTTAGTTCAAAGGGACTTTGCAGTTCAGTGCCTTAATCCACAGTCCCACACCAGAACTCCAGTACTTACCCTACAGGGCCATAAACCTCAGTTTATCATGTTGTTGTTGTTGTTAAATGCCGTCGAGTCAGTTCCGACCCATAGCGACCCTGTACAGGGTTTTCGAGGGTGTAAATCTTTACGGGAGTAGAAAGCCTCATCTTTCTCCCGCGGAGCGACTGGTAGTTTCGAACCTCTGACCTTAAGGTTCACAGCCCGATTCGTAACCACTACACTACCAGAGCTCCCATCATAATCCTCTCTAAATGGGCTTCTCTTCCTGAATTTCCTTCCAGCATTATCCTAATTTCCCATACTGAAAGCTGTAAACAACCTTGACTCATCCTCTTTCACCCCTATATCAAACCAATTCCTGAGTAGCTGACACAGTGGCCTGTAAAGCAGTCTCCCACACTCCATTCTCACCCTCATTCAGGTACGTATTTCTTCTCAATTAGATGACTCTAGATGCTTGTGAACTAATCTCCAGTCCATCTTTCTTCTCAGTTTATAAAACCTCAATTCTCACTGGGCTTGTTTTTCTACACTGTAAATGTAATCATTATTCTACTACCAAAAATAAATTCCAACTTTCAACTATGTATTTAAGTATAAATATCTAATGTATACATACACACCCCATTATAGTTAAATATAATATTGAATGTATGTTGTATTTAACTACATAATAGATGTGTGTTGTTGTGTTTGTTGTTAAGTGCCGTGGAGTTGTTTAGGCCCATAGTGACCTTGATAGGGTTTCCAAGGCTTTAAATCTTCAAAGAAGAGGAAAAACCTCATCTTTTTCCCGTGGAACAGCTGGAGGCTCCAACTGCAGGCCCACATACTTGTACTCAGCCCCTTGGCCATCTCTTTCCTATTGGGAACCTGACTGATTGAAGGTCTGATGGAAAAAACAACTACCGGTGTATTAGGTCCCCCCAGATTATCTACTTTTTGCTTTCTACAATCATAATGTCTGTTGTTCCAATTTTGTCTATTGAAATTCTACCCAATTTTACTAGATTCTTCTTAGATATTACCTTTTCACATTCAGAAAACTTTTCTGATTTTTTAAAAAAGCAACCCACTTGTGTTGAAACTAATCACTTCTTATGTCTTTATTACCTGACTTAGCTTTGCAAAGGTTTTTATGCACCTTTCTTATTCCCCTGGGAGACTTTTCGGCCTTGGATAGACATCTTTTACTTAATTTGTATATTACAGACATTACATAGCATTAATATGGTCTTACAGAAGGTTTTTAATAGTTACTGGATTGATATATAAATAATATCTAGTTTATTTATGGACAAATAAAATAAAGATATAGAAATAAGTTTTATGCAGACTAATTGTGGTAAAGTGAGGGATTCTAAGTCTTCCAGAGTTGAGATATCCAACTCTGGAGGGCAAAATGGTAACAGTTACTGTGACATCTTTTCTGATCATCAGCCTCCAAAACACTGCATAAAAAAATGGTAGCTTTTTCCGCAATAATGAGAGAAATTGAAACTGGGAGAAACACCTTGAAAATTATTTTGTCTAGTGCCCTGTAACTAAGGAAATTGAGGGCAAAGACTTGTTCAAGATTGGACAAGATTAGAGGTAGGATTGGACATCATACTTTTCATTATGTTTGTGTATCTTATAGGGGCTAAGGTGGCCATATCAGAGACAGAGAAAGTCTTAGTGAGGTAGGCTTGCAGGATTGCTCTTTTGAATAAGATTTCCAGAACAAAGTTTGATGGAATTTTTTTAACATATTTTTTTTGTTTTTAATGTTATTAAAATGTTTATTACATTACCTTCCCATTCAATGCTTTCATAGCCTTGACGGCATCTTCTCGGTGACTGAAATGCACAAAAGCATAATCTCGGATTTTCTTCACCCTCTCCACAGCACCTGCAAGGAGAATGAAAGTATATAGCCCGTTTGAAAACCTGAGTTAGGACTGGAAATGATATATTTAGGTTCCAAGATGATTTTATTGCTTTTTCTTAGGAAACTGAAATTTAGATAATGGTCTTATCTAGATCATTTCATGTGTCCTCGCATGGCACTGTAGGATAAGCACTGGACTGCTAACTACAAGTATGGTGCTTCAAGCCCACCAGCCTCTCCTTGGAAACCCTATACAGGTCACTATGAGTCGGAACCAACTCAAAGACACTTAACAAAGACAACAGCATATTTTAAATCTACACATTCAATAGAAGCTATCGTTTATGTATTGTTATGATATTGATTTTATTGTTAAGTGCAGTTGAGTTGGTTCTGTATAGGGTTTCCAAGGAGCAGCTGGTTGGTTTGAATCACCAATCTTCTGGTTAGCAGTCCAGTGCTTATCGTACAGTGCCATACCAGGACTGCATATATATGTTTTATCGTAATTAGCATGGATTTGTGGATTATGTACTTTATTTTTATGAGATCGTTAAGGGCATGACTAGCATCTTAATTTGCATCATAAGCATCTTATGTTACATATAATGTAAAAGCATATTATACATGATGAAATGCTTATTGCACTGATTTGAATTCAACTATCGGTCCTCTTTTAAACATAAACTAGTAAAGTGGCCTTTTAAAATTTCACGATACCCAACTCCCACTGAACACTTGGTTACATCTTTTGTTTTAGACAATAGAATTTTAGAGGTAGGAGGGACTTTAGCAATAATCTAATTTGTCCATAAGTTAAACTTTATTTATTTAAAATGAAATATTGGGAAACTAAGGTTCTGGTAAGGAGTCCTGGTGTGGCGCCATGGAATAATGCACTGGACCAAAAGTTGGTCTGAATTGCAAGGTCAGAGTCCAAATTCACCAGCTTCTCCTTGGAAACCTATACAGGGTCACTATGAGTCTGAATCAACTCAATGACACTTAACAGTAACACCAAGGTTGTGGTAAGTTAAGTGAGACTCATGAATCTACACAGCTAGAAATCAGAGCTCAGGTCTCCTTTTCCAATATACTTTTGCTTTTTAACAGTATTTATCTCTACTCCATTAGTTTTTCCATCCCCACCCTCACTCACACTGTAGCCATCAGAGAATGTTTCATTTACCAAGAAAATCTTTTCTTAACTGTTTACAACAGTGGTCTCATGCAATCTTAGTCCTTTTGTGACTGACTAATTTCACTCAGCATAATGTCCTCCAGATTCATCCACATTGTGAGATGTTTTGCAGATTCTTTGTTATTCTCCAAAGTTGCCTAGTATTCCATTGTGTGTATGAACCAAAGTTTGTTAACCATTCTTCTGTTGATGGGTATTTAGGCTGTCTCCATCTTTCTCCTGGATAATAATAAGGAAGACTGTAGAAGAACTGATGCTTTTGAGTTATGGTGTTGGAGGAGAATACTGAAAGTGCTTTGGCTGCCAAAAGAACCAATAGATCTGTTTTGGAAGAAGTGCAGCCAGAGTGCTCCTTGGAGGCCAAGATGGCCAAACTTCGTCTCTCATACTTTGGACATATTGTTACGGGGGACCAGTCACTGGAGAAATTTCCCTTCTGTTCCTTTGTTGAGTATTTTATCAGGAATGAGTGTTGGATTTTGTCAAATGTCTTTTCTGCATCAATTGATACGATCACATGGATTTTTCCTAGTTTTATTTATGTGGTGGATTACATTGATTATTTTTCTAATATCGAACCATCCTTGTACAACTAGTATGAATCCCACTTGATTACAATGCATTACTTTTGCATCTACATTCATCAGGGATATTGGTCTATAATTTTCTTTTTTAGTGATGTCTTTGCCTGGTTTTGATATCAAAGTTAAGCTTGCTTCATGAAATGAATTTGGAGATTTTCCATTCTTTTCTATATTATGGAATAGTTTAAGTAGAATTCACCAGTAAAGCCATCTGGGCATAGACTTTTTTTAGTTGGGAGTTTTATAATGACTTGATCAATTGCTTCTCTTGTCTCTTGTAATAGGCCTGTTCAAGTATTCTACTTCAGTCTCTGTTAGTTTAAGTAAGTTTTGTGTTTCTAGAAACTTGTCCATTTCTTCTAGGCTTTCAAATTTGTTGGAGTCCAATTCTTCATAGTATTCTGTTATTGTCTGTTTTATTTCTGTTGTGATGTCATTCATATAATTTCTTATTCATGTTATTTGTATCTTCCCATTTGTTAGATTTGCCAGTGATTTGTCAATTTTGTTAATCCTTTCAAAGAACCAACTTATTGTGTTGTTGATTCTTTCTATTTTTTATTTAATTCATTTTTGTTCAAACTTTTACTTATTTTCTTCTGCAGGTAACTGCAGGCCTACTTTGCTGTTCTTTTTCTAATTGTTACAGGGTGTTTTTTGTGATACTGCTGCTTTTCTTTGTGCCACCTAATTTTCAGTGCTGAGTTAATTTTGCTCATGGGTTTTCTTTTAATTTTCTTCATTTCTGTTGTTAATGTCTGATTCTGCCCCTCTCTCCCCCCCTTTTTTTTATGTGAAGGTGTATTCATTTTCTTTGTGGTTACCCTGTCATTTATTAAATGTTTCCCCATTTAAAACAATCTGTTATATCTCAAATTCTACTTGACTTCCTTGCCATTTGGAAGTTCTATATCTACACTAGTCCCTCTTTTTGCTTTGTAGTTGACTTCATTGTAAATTGTTATCTCTGGTTCGCTATATTCAGTCTTGTAAGTTTGTTTAACTTTAAATACTTCTATATCTGGATTGAGTTCTAGGTATGTTGTCATGTGTGTTAATCTCAGGTTGTTTTCTGCTGTTATTGGTTCTCAGCCCAGAGAGCATCCTTTAGGATTTTTGGTAAAGTTGATATTATTATTACAAATTATTTTGATTTCTGTTTATCTAGAAATGTCCTAATTTCACTATTGTATTTGATGGACAACTTTGCTAGGCATATGATTCTTGGTTGGCAGTAGTTTTCTTTCAGAGTTTTATATATGCCATCTCATTGCCTTCTTGCCTACATGCTTTCTGCTGAGAAATCTGAGCTTAGATTTATTCGTTCTCCTTTGTAGGTAACTTTAAATTTTTCCTGAGCTGGTATCATGTTTGGTTTTAGTTCACCTTCTTGTATGCTTATCTTCTTGTCTTTAATGATGTTAGGGAAGTTTTCTTCCAACAGCCGTCTGACAATTTTCTCTGTGCTTTTTATGGTCTCTTTTTGTTCTGGAATTCAAATCACCCATAAGTATTCTTCTTCCTGGTGTCCCACGTAACTCTTAGCCTTTCTTTGGATTTTCATACCTCTCCTCCAAAGCTCAGGACTCCAGGATTTTCATCTGTCTCTTTTATTTGGACTCCCTTATCTTTGTTGTAGAGGATCTATGTAGCTCCACTGCCTAGTCTGACATCATGTCAGAAGTCCCTTCAATATGTCTTTGATTAAAAAAAAAAAAAAAAACTTTCTGAAGGAACATTTGAGAATAAGATAGTTCTCTATCATGCTGCTCATGATATTTAAAGATTTAGACAATGTAGATGAAAACCTAATTCTGCTTTGAGGAATTCCTTTTTCAAAAATGCTCACATATGTGCACAAGGATCATGCCAAATGATATCAATTAGATCACTGGTGTCACAGTGATGAAACAGCCTAAATATCCATTTTCAGAAGAGTGAAATATGATGCTTTCATACTACGTAATACCAAGGAATCTTTACAGGAAACAAATTATACCCATGTCAGGAGGCTTCAAAATCTTGCAGGCATATAGAATTTAAAGATAATGGATTCTTCCCCACAAACTTTTTGAAGCTCATGCTTATGTATTTACATAGGAAGATCCAAGACCTATTGATACATGTAAAAAGTGACAAAATAATATTTATGTTTAAAAAATCCCAACATATATATACACACACACATATATACACATATAAAATAAACATACACACACACCCAAGAAAACTGAGAAAATGCCAAATAAACTGTTAAAATAGGGGTTACCTTAGGAATGGGAAGAAAAGGTTTGGGAGAATGATGGGCTATCCATTCTTTAGATACTTTAGTATTTCACAAAAATTTTGCAATAAATATATTACTTGTGAATAATAATTTAAAAATGAGCCTGATCTATTTTCTTATGTAGAGGAACTTGTGTAACTAAAAAAACTAAGAAAACCAAACTTGTTTTTATGTAGAAGAACTATACATGTTAATGGTGTTGGTGGTTGTGTGCTGTCGAGTTGGTTCCGACTTGCAGTAACCCTGTATAGGGTTTTGGGAGCTGTCAATCTTTACAGGCGCCGAAAGCCTCATCTTTCTCCCCTGGAACGGCTGGGGAATTCAAACTGCTGACCTGTGATTAGCAGTTCAACTCATACTACATTACCAGAGCTCCTTATGTTAATGGTAGCATGTAAAAAAAATTTTTTTAAGTTATGCTGAGATGGTTGACCTTTATATTTTACATTTTACTAATAATTTCTTTAGAAAAAATAGTATTGCTGCTTAATTGTATAACTAGAGCTTTTACACAGAGTGGAAATAAAATGGAAACGTGGTCAGCCACTCTCAGTTTAGACTGTCTGTTATCCTCTTCTAGCTTATTCGGGTCTAATTTGGGGCATATTCTCCTGTCCTCAGTGCCTAGAGATAACATAGAAAGAGATGCTATGCCAGAGGGAAGACTAGGTGAAGAGACCTCTTCTTCCTTCCTATCCCCTGTTAGAGTACAATTATTCTCTTACATTTAAGGTCACAAAGGTAAGGAGGGTTTCTGCTTTGCCACATGGTTCAATGACTGAATTATCTTCCTTTGGAATAATTGTAGGGATGTAATGCAAGGATAATTTCAAAACAGCCTGCATTTTTCTTCACTCTTCCCACCGGGGAAAAAAAAAAACAAGAAGGAAGTATCTGAAACCACCAAGCAGGGAACTCGTAATTAACTGAATTTCCAATATGGACTCTT